AAATAGCTGACAAAATATCTTGTTTCCTTTGCAATCTCTTTTTAGGAGTTTAGTTTGTCTATTTTAATTATAAGACAGAGGTTTTCAAGGTCACAGAAGGAATCTGGATTTGCTCTTATATTACTCCCAGGGTTAATTTTGTTGATTCTGAACCCCACCTGAGCCCTATACTGTCTGTCACATTCCAATTTTCCCTCTTAAGAGTTTACATGTTTTCTTCTCATACACTCAGGAATCAAAGCAATAGTTTTTCTTGTTGTCATGTTATATGGCCAACCATTCCTTCATTTACAGACAATGATGTATATCAACAATATACCCTATCAATTGCAAAGCCATCTTTTTATATATGATGGCATTTGATTTTGGATTTTGACAATCTAGTGAGGGAAAGAAAAAGGACTACAGTTAATTCTTATTTTATGAATGAACTCCAAGAAGTCAGTCAATATATCCAAAATAACGCACAAACAGAAGGGCCAAGTCAATAACCCATGCCTTGAGCTCCACGTTCCGTGTTCTTTCTGCCCCATCATACTGTCAGTATACGCTGTTCTATACCATGAGACCTTATCCATATAAGGAATTTGATCAATATGCGATTTCAAATTGTACCAAATTTTAATAAACTTAATAAAACCAAATTTTTTTTTTTTTTTTTTAGTTTTTTCCCTACTAAGCCTTTATTGTTGCACTGTATATGTAGTGAGAGAGATTTCCTCCTTCTAGGCCAATGACATTGTGCGTATATGGTTTAAGAGGTAAGGAACAACAGGACGGCAATAAGAGAGATGTCCAAGGAAACATGACTAAGTGGAAAGTTCAGTGGAAACAATGTAGGAAGTGAGACTGGAGCTGAGCCTTGTAGACCAAGATAAAATTTTGGAAGATTAAGAAGGTGGAAGGGAAATGTCTGAGCAGAGGTGTGCAGGAAGGAAAGTATGCAGTACTGAAATAATCATGGGTGAAATAATATATCCAAGATTTGCTTCAAAACAATCCTGGGCATGGGTGTGATATAAGTTGATAATTGTTGAAGCTGGGCGAAGGGTACACGAGTCTTCCTTAGGCTATTATTTATACTTTTGTATGTGTTAGGAGTTTTTCATAATGAAAAGTTTGAAACATAAAAACTATGTATTTTTTGGACAGAGGGTAGGCTGGCCTGTCTGGAATAAAGGATTTGTTTGAAGGCAGTGGGAAATGATGTTGGAAAGGCAGTTTGGGAACAGACTGGGTGGCGGGAGGGGGGTCTATGAATGCACACTGGAGTCTGGAGTAGTCATAGACACTGGTTCATTGACTGGAATTGAGTTTTACTTGACTGTGAGCTCAAGGAGGAGTGCAGTGCATTCTGGCATCCTCATCAAGGATGGCAGCAACCCCCCCTTTACCACCTACTTAGGCCCTACCACATCTGACTTGCCATATTCAGTTCTGGAAATCACATTTAAAGAAGGCTTTTTACAAACCGAGTTTCCATGGTGGGACATAACAGTCACAGAAGAGTATCTCGCTTATTAGGAATCTTCCTCATAGAACCTTCCATCAGTTCATGGTCGTCTACCTGGAAAGGGCTTATTTTCCCTTCTGCCAAGTTCTTCTCTTACCCCTTTTTAAACTCTCTCTTGGGGGCCTGGGGATGAGCAGTAAAAGTGAAATAAAAACATTACTATGACTCCCAGTAATATGAAGGTACGCGTGCATGATGACATCTAGTGTAACCGCCTGGAAACAGACTTTAACGGAGGACTGAGTTATACACAGTAGCACTGAACCATGTGGAAAGCCTAACACTTTGATGTAGCTTTCTGAAGCAGAGCTCCTTTTTCCTTCCTGTTTAACATGTTTTCCTACATTTGATATGGGGAAAAGAGGAAAGAGACATGTCAGAGAAATTTGGATAGTTGGTAATATTCAAGAATTGTTAATTATCTGAATGTGATTCAGCGGTGTGCTAGAACTGACGAGAACTGATTGTTGTATTTTCAGGCATTTTGCAAGTCAGGTGTTAAACACAGCCATTAAAAATTAAAATATACAGACTTAAAATTAAAGTTTAAAATTAATGCTCGAAATGTATCACTTCTTAATTATTTTACTATTAGAAGTAAACTAATTTGCTGTTATCTGTGTTCTTAAGGTTACTTGTGTCTAATGTATCTACAGAGGGGAAGTCTTATATAATGGTGGTGCCGCACGTTACTTCCCAACTCCATATTCAGTGATGTCATGTTGGTACCCTGAAATTAGCTGTGGTAGGAGTATTTACATCATGGATATGGAAATTGGCAACGACTACAAATCAGGGCCCTTTTTTCACCCCCAGAGAACTGGTTGTTAAAATCTACCAGCACACCATTGGGTATGATTATGATATCATGGTTATATTTTTAAAAGAATTTTTATCTTTTACAGATACATACTGAAATAAGACAGGTAAAATATGATATCTAGAATTTGTTTCACATCATCCAGCGGGGATGGGTATCATGGTGGTTGTATCAGAGTGATGGGCACATGGGCTCCATTATACCAGTCTCTCTACTTTTGTGTATATTTAAAGTTTTCCATAAAAAAGTTAAAAACAGTAATTAAGAAATGTTGCGATGAAAATAAGTAAGTTGCCTATAAACAGTAGACGTAGAAATTCAGTCTAGTACCTGTCTGTTCCTCAAACTTTGATGCTCATTCCTTTGATAAAATGTTTTTTTCTAATTTTAGAGCTGTTGTTTGTAACTGGTTCACATAGTACATTGAATTTAAATGTCCATTTCTTGTTAAATTAAATCAAGAAATCACTCTGTGCAGTTTACCATACCCATAAGGGCAAAAGAATCCAATAGAGCCTGCCCTAGGACACTAAGAAGCTCTCTCTTCACAGTGGGAGGAAAATGCATTTCTTGGATTGCAATCCTGTTTGCAGAACCAATTGTACAAATAGGGAAAAATGAATCAAGTTATTGCTCAGAGGGTTACTTGTGGCTATATGACAGCTGGGTGCCCTTTAGATTTATTTTCAGTCTAGCTGATTTGAGTCATTGCCCAGGAAAGGAGTGCTGTCAAACGAATTGTCTTCTGTGCAGATGATGAGGGCCTTGCCAAACAGTGCCCCACTGATACAATTGAAGATGGGTTTGGAATCCTTGGCCTATGAATTAAATTAGACCAATCCAATGACTTAAGAAGCCACGACCTAGGTTATATACTGGCTATGTTTCACAAAGAGTACAGAAGCACAGTATCTTTTTCTAACATATACTTAGACATCCAATGGAAAAGTTAAGGCATAAGTTACTTTAAAAAAACATGTCTTTTTTTTTAAGTTTGAAGTCCTTTTAATTTAATTCTTAACATGAATTTTGTAGTATGATAAAAGTTTTTTCTTGTCTTAGATTGTATAATAATTCAATTAACCAGGAAAAAAACTTATGTTGAGTAAGGAATACAAGTGGTCACTGTGATTATCCCAGCAAACAGGCTGGTGAGGAAGTTATTAGGTTTTATAATGGGGACACGGAAGGACAATATGAACCTTGAGGGGAAAGTAGCCTATAATATCTGCCTCATTATTTTAAGTTTGGTGAGTCTGTGGTCTGTTTAGAAATACAGGCTCAGAGCATTCTCTGGGTTTAACCACACACAAAAGAAAGTCTTAAGCAATGAAAACAACAGATGTCAAACTCAGGTAACCTGGGGTCAGAATACCAAAAGGAAGCCTAGACTGAAACAGATGCTGAAACAGGAATTGAGATAAGGAAACCAGAAGTCAGAGTGGGATGAGTAGAGGAAGAACCAACTCCTCCTCTTAAGACAGAGTTAGACAGAGGAATCACTTGGAGAACTTGGGAGGTGTTGACACTTGGCTGCAGTTTTCCCCCTGTTAATTCCTTTGTATCAATAACTTTCAGTGCCTTTCAAGGTCTCACCATGATATAGGTTCTGAAAGCATTTCTTTGGAGTATATAAATAGAAATCATGGTTCAGAATTAAGTTGGAGCATGGAGATAGAGTCACGATTGCTAAGGAAAAACATGTTAAGTTCTTGAAATATAATAATCACAGGACTGTGATTTATTCACTCAACAAATATTTACTAAGCCCCTACTATCTAGGCTAAGTGTTGGGGATACATCAGTGTACCCTACAGATAAAATGTTCTTGGAGCTTACTGCCTAGTGGGTAGATACAGAAAATAGACAAAGTAATAATATAGTACATTAAACGGAGATAAATTCCATAGAGAAAAACAGAACAGGAAATATTCTTCACAGTTAGATTCCCCAAGGATACATTTTCCAACTTATCAAAGCTAGCAAAGGGAAAGATAGGTATTTATAAAAATATAAAACGTACCACATCCGAAATTCCTTCATGTTTCTGGTAACTCTCTTGGTAAACTAAATATATTCACTATTTCTTCTATATTCACTAAGTTTAGAACACAAATTAAAGTTGAAGTAGTGTGGGAAGGGTAGCTTTTATACACTGAAGTAAAATGAATAATATGCCCTTAACACATTTTGTTAGACAGTTGACAGTTGGTAATGAGGAAGGCAATGAGCACTTACAACAGGGAGGCTGGAAGTTATTTAAAAACAAAGTCTTTACTTCCAATGCTGTTTACCTCCAGTTGGGCAAGACAAGTAGAAGTCATTCAGAGTTGGTGCGGGGTGTGTGTGTGTGTGTGTGTGTGTGTGAGAGAGAGAGAGAGAGAGAGAGAGAGAGAAAGAGAGAGCGCGCGTGCGCGCGCACATAAGACTTTTAGTCAACTTGATTGCCTTTATAAAAAATTAAATTCTCAACTTTAAATGGAAATTTTCTGAAATAGAGGTATCAAGTGAACTCCATTACACTCAGGCTACATTTAGTTCTTTATTTTAAATAACTTATTTTTTTCCCAAATTACCAAGTACAGACCTTTAAAGGTAACATTAAACAGAGTCAGCAGCAATAATGAACAATCTAACAAACTCATTCATATATTCTCCTCTCCCCAGGGCTCCAGTTTGTATTTCCAGCTGACTACTAGACCTCACCACCTAAATGGCCCACAGGTACTGCAAACTCAGCATTTTAAAAATCACACTCATCACCTTCTTCCACTGACCAATTTTCACCATTGACCCTGTGGCCAAAACTGGGGCGGTCACTTGTCCTTGAGTCCTGGCTCTCTCTTTAACATCTAGTCTGCCACCAGTCCTTCTGGTCAATGCCTCAGTAACTCTAGATTCCATGCCCATAAGCTATTTAGCAGAATACCTGTTTGAAAGTTCTTAAAGTGATGGTATTTAAAAGTATTTGCTTTTCTCCACTTTTCTCACACCCAGTCACGTCTTCCTTCAAGCCTTCTTTCTTGTTTTATCCTTTGGACTATTGATCTGGTCTCCTACCTACCTTGTATATTTCTGCCTTCTAATGAATCTTCCCTGCTGTTACAAAAGTGGCAAATTCTAAATTTCTAAATTAAAAATTTCACACTGACCACATCATGTCACTCCCAAGCATAAAAACCTTCATTGATTCCATAACATGTGTCTTTCCATGTGTCTTTATGATCTGAACCTAGAGGGCCTTTTCATATCAGCACCTTTAGCTTTCCCACTGGATTCACTCTCAAGAGCAATACTCAGTCAAAACTTGATTACGTCAAACTTCTAGTAAGGGTATAAAACCTTAATTATGTTAATGAATCATCCTTGATTCAAAGTGAAAGAGCAGAATTCACCAGATTGTTCGTTGATCTTCCAGTGACTTGGACTTGTTAATTAGCGCTTTCACTGTTTATTAGAACCTTTCACCAGTCTGACTTGCTTCTTCTCTCCTTTGCCCGTCTCTCCCATCAGCCAATACTTGTCAGATTTTCCATTAGTTCTCCTGAAATTCCTTCATTCCTGGTCATTTTCACTAACAGTCCTCTGGTCCTCACTACTTCCTTGTTGAGTTACTGCAGAGGGGTCCTGCCTGGTTCCCTAGCCTTCATTCTGTCTCCCCACCCTTCCACCTGCCCCAGTGTATCGCTCATGGCCCACCAGATAATTTTCCTAAAACATTGCTTGTGTTCTGTTTTGGAATCAATAATCGTTTTCTTTTGTGAGTAAAATCATACTCTTCGTTTTGGAATCTTAAGTCCTAAATGTTCTCTCTATCTCACTTAATTTGAATTTATCTCCCTCTTGGCTATGAAGATTCTCTCCTCAGGGGAACCTGCTGCCCCACCACTTTTCCTCACTCCAGACCTCTGTGCTCTTGCCCTTGCCCAACTGGAGTTCTTCCTTCTGATCCAGTTCCTACATGTCACTCAGGTGCACATTACCTGTCCTGCTTTCTCCATTCCCTGAACTGTAGCTGTTGACCTTTGTGAAAGGCGACTTCAGACGGTGGGAAGAACACCGTGTTTGGTGTCAGTTACGGGATCAGGCTCTTGATCGCTAGACGTGTGACTTAGCTTATTTTTTTTTTCTCTGAGCTTTGATCCTTATCATAAAGTCAAGTGCATGGTTTAAACGACTTATGGTAACAATGCTCCACAAACTTTAAAGCATTATGCAGTGGTATCTAATTGTTTCAACTATAGTTGAATCTTTGATTGTATGTTTTCCTATTTCCTATTTATGTATGTTTCCCATCTTTTATGAGTGTTTTAAGGGTAGATATAAGGTAAAATTTAAAAATTAATTCTCGCTTACTGGTTATTCTTTCTTGTCCTGTTTAGCCCACACCATAGCAAATGTTCAATAAACTCTCCCCTGTCAAGCAGATCGAATGAATACAAGTATCAGGCACTGTAATGAAAGTATAGCATTTGGAGCAGGGAGTGAGAGAGAAACAGGAAGAAAATGGAGTGACCAGAGATGAGGAGACTGACTGGGGAACTGGCCTGCCTCAATACTGACTTCTTTTATGAGTTCAAAGACAAGCTTAGGATTTAGACACGTTCTTCGGTAAAGAAGAATAATCATTAGGTGAGAATTCATTTTAGTTTTGCACTGTCTTCTAACCCCCTCTCTCACAGGCAGCCTACTAGAAGTAAGGGAAATAAATGGTAGTGGAATACAGGAATTTATGATTCTGCCTAGTATCCATCTTATAAGGGAAATATAAACTGTGACAAATCTTGGTTGATAAACTATCCTTGGACAATAAGAATAATCACTAGATACTTATTATAACTCTTACTATGCCTGAGTCACTGAGTCTCAGCTGAAAAACAAACTAATCAAACAAGTGAAATATGGTTCCTGTTTTCAGGGAGTTTGTAAGTTACAGTAGAATAAAGAGAATGATAGTAACCCCAGCAAAATAACTAAGAGAAATGGAGTTTGCTTGTTACCTTCTAAGCAAAAGGTACATTTCTCCAAAGCAAGTCACTAAAGATTGCTACTGTTTTGTTGCAGAGTGGATTTGCCAGCCTGAAAATGATAGCTTACCCCTGTTCTCCCTTCACCAGGCAGGCTTGGTGAGTGCTCTCATTTCAGATGAGCCAGCCTAGCTACAAAAAGATATTTGCATAGAAGATTGGGGAAATCACCAAACAACAAAAAAAGACTTATGCTTTTGAAATGCCTCATATTACTGCTTTAATTAAACAGATGTTTCTAAAGTAATGGCTATTTAAATGAAATTTTAATAGTGCATCAGCTAATTCCTAGTATATTCTTTCATTGTACTTGGCTTTCACAGTGGGACCATATTTGGTTTCACTTCCTGGTTTGTCCACATAAGCCTGTTGCTGGGAAATGTTTAAAGTGTTTATGAGAGAAGATTATCGTTTCATAATGGACAAAAGCATTTTGGTTTGATTTAGATTTAGTTCATGTAGTAATTTTTATTAAGATTATAAAAATAAGATTTCTGGTGCCTAAACTGGTAAATCAGTTGCTTAAAGAAAACTCTTGAAAAAAATACAAAAAACCGTTTTGGCACTGAATTAGGTTACCTTTGGTGAAGTCATTTGCAGAGCTGTTTCAGTAGGCACCAGTTGTGAAACAAATGAAATGTTGACCTATAATTAGAGTAATTGTAACTTGATTTTAAACAGAGGTTTGATTGCATAGGGAGTGACATAATGAACACCGAATGACTTTTCTGGAAGAAAGGCCCAGTATATTCTTAAGCTGATGGCCTGCTTATGGTGTGTTTAACGTGGCCACTACCAGTATATCAGGTACCTTTCTGTGTGTGTATGTTTTAAATGGCTGTTCTTGTGTGTTATAGCATTTCATGAAATACTTGGCTATTAATTCTAAAAGTGACAATTTTACCCCTAAATCATCTAATTTCACCAAAGTATTCAGGTACCATATGGTGTAAAAAAATCTAATTAAATCCATTTCTCTTTTGAAAACATCAATTAAAACTTTCTGGAAAAATCTGCTCCCTTGATATCTAATTGTTTTCTTCAGATGCATCATTTTGCTGGCTAATCTGATAGTTTAATTTTTTAAAACATAACTAGTTTCTACTTCAAAATTTTTACTTTAATTTTGAAGTTTATTTATGTTTTATTTTACATGGTGATCTGATACTACCCTAATATAGAATTGGGCTTCCTGTTCTCATTCTCAAACTCTCTGCAACTCTTTCTTTCTGACACTTTCAAATTAACTTCCCTAATATGCACCAATATGTCCTTAAATATATTTTTTCCGTGATTCTCCGGCTCAGATACCATCAGTGATTCCCTTCTGCTTGTATGATCAAATAAAAACTTCTTTCTGCTCTTGTAAAAATATTTGGTTATTAATTCTAAAAGTGATATTTCTTACTCCCAAACAGTCATTTCTCAGGTGCTTGTTATATGCTGAGTTCTGAGCTATGTCTTGAAAAGTTCTTAGCCTAACATTCTAAACTTTATTTTAATATTTTATTCTAATATACTTCCTAATTTTATCTTCGTTATTTCTGTCTCAAAAATACCATTCCATCTATATACTTAACTACTTAAATTCACCTTGGATTCTTCTTACCTTCTTTATTTGTTTCTGTTCCTCCATATAAAATATTATGTGCCCTATTATTAATCCCTTGTCCTTCCACCTTCCACCTGTATAAATCCTATGCATCTTTCATGGTTCAACTCGTAAATCCTATGTCGTAACTATTATTCCTTTGGCATATATGGCCTTAAGACACAGCTGTATAATCCATTTTTTTGATCCTTCTTATATTCATGCTTTATCTCACCGAAGCATAAGTTCCTTTTGAGGGTCATGTTTGACACCCTTCTACCCGCTTCAGCATCTGGGGTGATGCTTTGCATCTAGCAGAAGCTAGGTCATGATTATTGAGTACATATAGTGTTAGAGTGGACACAAGATAAGACATTCCTCCTGTACTTTCTCCTGGGGCCCCATCTCTGGTCATGACACAAGTTAGTGGTACCTAGGGGCCTCTTCATTTCTACCTCTGTTCAACTAACCGTGACTAAATTGTTGCCTCCCTTGAATAGATAAGACTTTCTACAATAAAAACAGATGGCATTGTCAAATATAAATAGAAAAATATTGTTTCTGTGTGGGTAAGGAAAAAAAAACACACCATTAGCTTTCTTGGCACAGTCTTTCAAGTCTGGTTGCTAAAAAATAACCATAGAGTCATATGCTGTCCACAAGGAGAAATTTACGTTTGAATGGAGATTATGCATGTTGTGCAGCTGAATTTGTTAGAGCCAGACAGCCCCGACCCTGATTTAGAAGTCCTATGTTAAGCTTCCAGATGGAGAATGCGGCTTTTGTCTCCTGGGAAGCCGTCAGAACTCCAGCATTTCCAGGGAGAACATGGTTTTTCTCCTTTGTTAACACCAAGTGAAGCTGCAGAATCCTGCTGAGTTCTGAAGCCCAATGTGCAGAAACCTTACCTGTCACCTTCTTTAGAATGTGGGCATTCTGATTAGTTATTTGTGGGTTCTCTTTGAAGCCTGACCTTTCTCTGTCACTTCAATATGCCCTGAGCTGCCTCCATTTATTCTTAATGCCATGGCTGATAGGGCTCACGTGGAGTCTTTATTTGGGGACCTTAGCATGTCATGTAGTATTTGGTGAATTAAAGACAAATT